AACTTACTGAAGTAATCGTGCAAATCAAAACTACTGCTGAAACCAAAAAGCACAAGATAGTAATTAATGTAAAGAGGGAACTTTTCATTGGTAAGGGAGTTGGAGATTGAGGCGGCTGCTAAGAGGTGAATGCGGCAGGCAGATCAGGATTGAGGCACAGCGAAAATTTAAGGGGGAAGAGCGGCTGCTAGAGAAGAGGGGAGACATTGGCTAATTAGGAAAGAAAAGGGTTCCAAGTAGGGTTCCTGAGAGAATCGTATTAAGGTTGAGTATAAGGGGGCGAATAGCCCAAACAGTCACTTATCTTTGGACTCCCTAATATATCTATCAGTTGTGAAATTATCCAAATTATGTAAATACCACATGGCGAAATAGTTACAAACCATTCTAACTAAACATTAACTCTCTTAGTTAATTTTCATCTTCACATGTCTTCCCCGTAACTTGTTTTTTCCGTGAGATATCTTCCTCAAGTTCTCTTCAAGATCCTACTTCTCCTTAACTGGCTCTTTTATGGACTCCACAACATCGTCTATTTTCTTTATAAGGTCTTTCAGCTAGCCTTAAGTTGATGTAGTTCTACATCCTTTGCAGCAAATTCCTCCTTACATTGATTAAAAAATCAATGTTTTCATCCACTTTTATCACCCCCTCCCCAATTGCCACATCATCAAATCCCTCATCCAAACAACTCCCAAAATTTTGACCATACTATCCAAATTATGTGAATACTACCAGTGAAGTAGTTACAACCCACTCCAACTAAGCATTGCCTCTCTTAGTTAATTTTTCATCCCCCCCCCCCCCCCCAAGTTGTTTTTCCTGTGAGATATCTTCCACAATTGCTCTTCAAGACTCTTCTTCTCCTTGACCGATTTTTTCATGGACTCCGCAACATCTTCTATTCTCTTTATAAAGTCTTTACGCTGGCCCTCAAGTTGATGGTCTTCTGCATCCTTTGCAACATATTCCTACTTATATTGAAGTTGAACTGTGGTTGATGTCTCCTATCCATGATCTTCAAAATCTTGGTCGTTAGTCCTGAAGCCTTCTCCTCAAATGAGTTAGTCATTCCTTGAAGTGTTTGTTTGAAATACGCACACTCTGCTTCTTTATCTGCAACAATTTTGTTTTGCAATTCTTCCAACTGTCTACACAACGTATCAAATTCTTCAGATCTCATGTCATGTTCTTTCTTGCCTTCAGCCTTCAATTTCCTCAATTGTTTTCTTAACCTGCACAGCTCTTCAGTGTGTAGAATCTGAAGATCGGACAAAATCTCGTTCACAACCTGAAGCTTGTCCTCATGTTGCTTCTTGGCAGCAGGTTCTTCTTCAAGTTGCTGCTTGAGAATCTCAACTTCACTCATTTCCTTACCAACTGAGTCCATCATACTCGGAATAAAAAACTAATCATTCAACAGCAATAACAATAAAGAGTAATATAAACTCAGTATATCACAAATTGTCACTTATCTTTGGACTCCCTAACAAATAGGTCACTTGTGTTTCAATTTTAACAAATCAGTCACCTACTTTTTCACTGGTTAACAAATCAGTCTTTCCATCAATTTTATTAACTCTCCTACCCCAAACTTCCACATCATCAAACTTTATATTCCCTCAACTGTCACTTTTTTGTATTCAAAGCCTCTCAACAATCTGTATTCCTATCGAACTCCCTTAACTTTTCCAATTTGCCTAATCCTGCCCCACCGTTACTTTTCTATTAATATGACTTTAATATAAATTAAAAATATAGAATTGCCCTCAATAAATGTAAAGAGGAAAAATATTTATAAAGAAAAATTAAGAAAGATGATAATCTCATTTTTCGCTTTCAACCAGAAGCTTTTTCTTATTTTCTTACCAAGTTGTCTAGAGATAAAACTTTGAGGACTTTGATTATAATAAGTCTAGCGTTATACTTGTATTGTATGTTAATTTAAAGTCCTTATTATCAAATACAAATACAACCCTAGACTTTTTACAATCAAGGTCCTCAGATTATCAACTTCGGACAACTAAACATACACACATTAGCATGTCAACTAATTCATGTGAATGAGTGTAAGGATATAATTATGCATAATATTGTTTCATTAGTTTCCAATTACAACTGATCCAATAGGACCGAAAAATGAAAAATGGACATTATTCTGATGTCTACTTATAACAAGAATAGTTCATAACCATAAATTACAAAAGACTTCGTACTTATGCTGGAAAACACTTATATTCTAATATTATTTTACATAAAACCATTGCAGAAAAATTAAAGTAAAAGCACTAAAATAATTAAAATGCTAGATTAAAATCAACTAATGTTCATAAAAAACGGAAGCGATATACAAATAGTGTCATTTGATACTATTCTTTTTGAGGACACTGCCAAGAACACTGAGATCTGCACTTCAATTCACATGGTAACTAGGCAAGAGCTAACCATATAGAGTCATATCGGCTCACTCCAATACATCAATTCTACAACTCCATACTTCCATCCTCGTAGTATACAAAAAAATCTGAAGCTAATAAGAAGCAGGTTCCCAACCCTTGATATCTCGCTCGCTAAAGTGGAACTACTCTCTCTGCAGCTCCCAAAGGTTGCAGACAAACAACTTGACACTTCCCTCAAATCTTACCAAATGCAAACAGGAAGAAGAGCTCTAGCTCCTCCTCCAGGGGAGCGAAAAAGGCTGCGGCAGATGTGGAAACTCTCGATGAGCAGTACTTTGGAGCTGGTTTTGCCTTCATTGGAGCTGGTGGGCAGGACAGTGGCTCTGGGATTCTGAATCTTCGACCCTTTGGGGTAGAGCAGCCGCCTTGATAATCAGCAGGAACCTTAACTACTTGCCGATTGCATCTTCCCGTTCTCGTCTTCAAAGACGGAGCCATTCGATCGATCGATGGAGAACCTGATGAACCCAATCCTGTGGATAATGTGGCACAACGTCACAACGACTGTGCTGGTTTATATAAGCAGAATGTGGATTGATTGGGTAATGTTGCTGCTAACTAACTGCTACAATTGGCATTTTGCAGGTGAGCAGGTAAGAGTTCCCCACAAATAGAAAGCTTTGGAACCTGCAAGGGAGGCAGTTTGTGTAAGAAGAAAGCAACAGGAACATTCCAAATGCACGCCCGCCTTTAATACGTATGCATGGACTTTGAATAGCTTTACCTAAACACTACCTATTCAAAGCAGGGAAGTAAAATCCAAGCCATGTATACTACAAATACACAGCAACTGCTACCACCAACAGGATTATTTTGTTTAAGATAACCCTTACCAAATACTGATAAGATCTTGACCCCCTTTTTGGGTTACCTTGTTCAATAAGTTATTATGACCTTGGAACTTAACCACTTTGAACAAGAGGGAGCACCCAGAGCTACATTCTGATTGCTGTATCCTAATGTTAAACCATAACAAGGTCAAAACTTGACAAGAATAAGCTAATCGTGTCACCTCCTCTAACATGGTTAGTCCTACTGTACATACTGAGAACGAGAAAGCTCGCACCTTGACTACGATCGTGCTTCTGCTGATGTGGAAGTGAACAGAAAAGGGGGAGGATCAACGGATAAACATCTCTTCCAACACTTCAATCACCTTATCCATCACCGATCTCATTCGCACTTCCTCCTGAATGCACCAATCTCTCTACTTCCTCTGCATCAATCTCGCCACCAATCATCAAGAAGTCTCTGATCGACTACCATTCCCATGTTTCCCAACTCCCATTTCCAGAAAATCCACTCGCAATCATCATTGCCACATTTATAAGGCCCCCACTCTCCTTCTTCACTTCACGAACTAACCGCCACTAGCTTCATCTTATGTGCTCCGATTCGCAGCAGTGCCCCCCACCAGCCTCACCAAGTTCTTGTGATGTTTTGAACACTGCGTTTCAGAACATCTTCTCATCGATGGCCATTCGAAGGTCTTTCCCTGCAGCTAGTTGGTTGTTGTTCGGAAGCGTGCATTCATTCATGGGGGCCTTACCCTACCAAATAAACAGCCAAAGGTAAAAAGCAAAGACAGATGGATTTTTCATTCCTCTTTCCAGTTTTCAACGGCGGAGGACAGGTGAGGGGGGAAACATAATAAAGATGCAACCTTTTTAGGCAGATATGAGACCCTTGATTGTAGGCCAACGGTTGCCAGTGTCAGGGCATGGATATGACTTACCAGGGTCGAGAAAATAACATTGGTACGCAAATTTCCAACTTCAAACATCAATATCTGACTAAGAAAGAGGAAACGGGGGAAGAATTGAAGATTGAAAATGATACCCACAATGGACAGACAAATCCAAGTGGTTCAGCCACTCAGTCAAACAGTTGGTGGGCGACCAGCCGACCAGTCATTCTGAAGAGACAAACGGGTCAAAGACCCACAAATCTCGAAACTTGATGTCCATGTAAAAAACCCCAGCAGAGATTGCCTAAATTTTGAGCTTCATTACCCAGCTGAGCTGATGGCCCGCCGAACCATACTGGGAGTAGAGAGGGATCGGGCATGGAGATAGAGAGCTGAGAAGCCAAAACTTAGTTGGAATCACAAAAACCATTCAGCTAACAGAGAGAGAGAGAGAGAGCAAAGATGGAGTGGTTAGTTTGTGAACAGAGTACACTTTTCGTGTTCTGTGTTCAATGGTTTTGTCAGAGATAAAACAGGGCAAGAACAGAGCTATCTGGAAGGAGAGCACGATGCTATTGTGGAACAAGTAGGATCAAATGGATCAGATAGAAATTGTCAACCCTGTTAACCGAGTTCTTATTTCTCTTCTAATGAAACAGCTCTAAACATGCATCAAAAGCAGTGTACAAATCTCTATCGAAAAATAGAAACTAACTGGTAACAGAATCAGATAAATACACCTCTCCCTAAAACCTGTGGCATTAACTGGGCGTGCCACAATGACTAAAACATGGGATTGAACTTTCACCAAACAGAAACAAAGGCTGATCTCACCACATCTCTTAGAACACAGGTTATTCAGCAGAAGCTCTCGATTCGTGATTTCTGCTTTTACGGCCCCAAACTGGTTCGATCTCGATAAGTTTGTGAGGGACAAGACGCTTCTCCCGCTTTGTCAGCTTGCGGAAGTTGTTCACCTTCAGCTTGGCTATATGGGCCTCCTCCTCTGGGGTTGTCTCCCTCACTACAACCGTCAATCGACACTCCGGTCTCACTTTGATTCCATGCCTCCCTTTGGAATGATACGAGACTCTCTTTATGAAGCGCCCCTTCCCCAGGAATGCCTCAGCTGCAGCAGATTGACAACAAAAAAAGCTACTGAATAAGAGAGGAAAAGCACCCAGTAAAAATTAGGAAAGTTTACGTCGCATGCTACTTACCAACGAGTAGACGGTCTGGATCCAGCCCATGATTATGTGTTGCATTCGCTCGTGCTGAATGGATGACCTGCAATACATTAGTCCAGACGATCGTGATATATATTAGTTCCATGATCATTGCTTATTATCGAAAAAAGAAGTGAAAGTGGATGTATAACTCTGACTCATATGATATCAGGAACAGAGAGACACAGTTCATGCTCCAGATAGCTCAATCAGTATCATTGTTCATGGGAGTAAAAATCAATGTCTTGTTTAGTTGTTTATTTATCTGGGAAAATGCTGGTCTGAGGAATGAATAACAACAAAATATTCTGATTCCTATTTCCTACAAACATAAATGCCAGTTTCCACAAACTTAAAATGTGTAAAACCAAGAACCTGGGCCTGAAAAATTATGTCTCTCAGTCTCAACTATGTGACGATTCCTATTAACTAACAACAGACTGATTAACCAACCTGGTAAACAGTTTTTGCAGCCCTTTTCACGGTCACTTGCAACTGCAACAATGCATCTTCAACTCGCATGCCACGAACTAGCGCAGCAACCAAGTTGACCTTCTTGGGACTCTGCACAATCAGCCAGCCAAAATTAATTGATCGATTTGTCATAACAATCTAAAATAATTCTGACATCGATATACATATTTGATGGCATCACCAACCACATTTGCAGGGAATAGAAGAACCAAGGATTGAAGATCTGGTAAAAATGTGATCTCTTCTACCACATTTGTGCACACAGGACATGGAATAGAGAGATATCAGCTCAGATGGTTCTGTGTGATACCATTCAGTTCAATTACCACATTCATCACTCAACAGGTTTCCTAGTGCAGACACTTTCATTTTTGTTCAACTGCATGACACATAAGTCAACGAGATGTACGTCTATAGCAATAATATATGTTAGCAAGAGAAAGTGCAGGAACTTTGAACTGTCGCTTAAGCAACACGAATGGCTGCAAAAGAACGCCTAATGACAGTTCCTCTTAGCATCTAATATTATAGCAATAACGACCCCATAATTTTCAATGCTGACATGTGCAACCTTAGTTGATGAAAGTAGCGTTAATCAATTGCTTTTAAGTGTCAAACTGATGGTGCACTGATGAGGACGATTATCAAGTAGTCAAATTAGCAAGCAAGACCTAGACAGCAAAAAATGATAAAGAACCTTATGCAACAAATCAACCATTTCTTAAACAAAAATGCCAAGGAGACTCACTCAGGCACCTCATTATCATTTGAAATTGAGGGAAATGTTCAGCAAGGAAAGGTTGGTAGGAATAATGATGTATAACTGTAACACAGAAAGCATGTCATCCTCATATCTCACCTGCTTTATCCCCTTCAGTACAGCTTGAACAGTAGCAGGTTTGGAGACTGCCTTCTGGTCTTCAGCTTTTCCGCTATCCAAAGCTAGGACAGGAGTCAATGGAGAAGGAATAGGTTTATCCTCTGACGAATCAGCCAGCATTGTCCTTGAATAGGAAATTCCCTGAAGCCATAAATGATACAACATTGACGAGAGGATGACATTCAGAAGACAGGATAACAGCATTTGATGAAGAGGTTTATGAAGTAAAAACTAGAGCTAGATAAGTCAGGTTAGATGAAAAGCTCTAGAAATGATCATTCAAGTGGACGGTGAAAGATACACAACAGTTCTACCATTTCATAGCCAAGTAGTGTGAAAAATGTCATTTGCCCTTTTTGCTAGTCTCCAACATGCATGTAACGCTGATAGAACTTATATGGCTAACTCCATGTTTTCAAGTCATATCATAAATGGTGTCCTATACATAATTCAAACTGAAATTAGTGATCCCCAAAAGATCAACATGTATACATCTACAATCAAAGATCAACATATGAGGAATTCACTTTGCTGCCAAAGATGGCACGATCAACAAAAGAAATAGAATTTCTCACGGATATAATTTATGGTTGGCCTTTGTATCTTTACAGGTTGATAGCAGGTGAGTAAGTTTAACTTACAGAACTCACACAACGAACGCAACATGTTCACGAACTTATATACTAATTTTTTGTATGACAATTCTAGGCTCTGGCTTTTGTTCATCCATGCGGACATACTAACAGTATAAGTGAAAGATCAAAGTCGTAGTAAATACCGCATGTTGCAAATACTGATAAAGAGGCCGCAGCGAGGATGATGATGATGATGGGTTCCAAAACGTCTCCAAACAATTTGATTTGCCTGCAATTATTCAAAGTAACCTTTTTTATTGGTTTGAATGTAGAAAACATTAAGCGGGAAAACACAACTAAAGAGAGCTAACAACAAGTAAATAACAATACAGCGGTCACCCAATTGCAAAAGATGTAGTACAGATGGTTAGCAAATAGTTTCATATCTGACTATTGACTAACCAGGGAAAACAGAGGATGCTGCCCCGCATGAAGATGAGGACTTGGCAAAGGTGGTTTGACTAGAGGGCACTACCCTTCTCCCAGCTTGACGATACAGTGTCTGTAAAACAAGTCTTTGCCAACCCACCATAGCTCAGAAGCCTGCACCAACAGGGTCAACAACAGAGGAGCCAAACCAATCAATGTTCAATCATAAATAGGTTCAAACTAGTACAAGCATTTCCTAGACGCTCGCAGCCGCGAAGTTTCCTATTGATTTCCGCCTAGAATCCCTTCTTCTACTTCTCACTATAGTCCTAGCTTGGGAGATTCTACCCAAGCACAATTTGTCAAGGTAAACTTCTTCGAAGTACTTTTGGTATGTGCCGTTGCAGTTCAGAGTATGTCGAATAAACCAAAGGGCCGTTACCTGTGGACGAAGATGGAAAACTGTAAACAGATGTGGCGGCGGCGGGCAAGAACACGTCGCGACTCGCGACAGAGAATGTACTCGCAAGAGATCCGAAACGGGCCAGAAAGGAGACGGACGACGGTCGCCTAGCAGCGGCGAGGGGCGGGATGCCGTCACCAACGTGATCGAGTAGGGGAAGTGGGAAGAACGGGGAACGAACTGAAGGGGAAGAAGAGAAGCAGAATAGAGAGAAAGGAGAAGGGTTTTTTTGGATTTTCTTAAGATTCTACTGAAAATTACTAATCCACACCTAAACTATCTCCAAGCAGACAAATAAGGACTTACTTAACACAAGTACAATCCAATACCTCAGAACTTGCATTTCATCAAAATAGCCCTCGAATCAAGGGCTATTTTAATGGCTAAATCGCAAGTTTGATCACTCGAATTGCTACAAAATTTCACGTTTGGTCATTCGAATTGATTTATTCCATTCGTAGTCACTTAAATTAGTTGAACAGTCCAAATTTGGTCACTCTCCGTTAACCTCCGTTAGACTCTGTTAGTGTCGTCAGTTAACTGCTGACGTGGCTAACAGAGATGCCTAGTCACCGAAAGCCACGTCAGCAGTTAACTGACGACACTAACAGAGTCTGATGGAAGTTAACAAAGAGTGACCGAACTTGGACTGTTCAACTAATTTAAGTGATTACGAATGAAATAAATCAATTTGAGTGACCAAACGTAAAATTTTGTAACAATTCGAGTGAACTGCTAGCCTTCCTTTAATTTTCACCCTAATATCTTTTTCAATTTTCTACCGTTTTTCATCCTTCCCTCCTTCCTTCGGCTTCGCCTTCCCTCTCCCTCTCTAGTTCTTAGCAAAAAGTTTTCTCTCACTGTTTTCCCGAGAAACAAAAAGAGACCTTGTCTATCTGAGTCATCACCTTGTCTAGATCTGTGACTGCAGAGAGAAAGAGAGCGCGCCGAGAGACGAGGCGGCGGCGGCGGCCGCCGGTTTATTACTCTAACTAAAAACCCATTTCCAGGTAAACGAACAACCTTTTTCTCCTCCATTTATACTTCTTACAGCCCGAAAAATGAAAACCCCCATTGAAGTGGAAGAAGATATACTCGCACAGAAATGAAATCGCGTTTAAGCTTTGCTTTAAGTTTGTTGGGGGTCTGTAAATGTTGTTCCGATGATCGCCCGCCACACCTACGGGTTAGATTTTTCTCTTGCTGTGTTGTTCCTCTTTTGCTTTCGCTCAATTGATTTTTGTCCTTTCCTATTGATTGGATTGATTTTGTGTTTGCTTTACTTCGGTCTAGTCTGTTTGGCTACCGAGAAAACCGAGGAAAAGAAGGGGGAAAGTTAGCATGGAAATAATCGTTTTGTCCTTTGTTTTGATCGTTGTTTGTATTAGTTTAATTGATTATATAATTCAGCTGAAGAAGGAAGTCGAGTGCTTTTGTTTAACCCAATCCCCTTTGTTGTCCTTTTGTTAATTTGTTTGATTGTTCTTCAATCATCCATGTTTAAGCAGAAATGAAAACTCTATGCTTATTAAACCCAGATATGGTTTCTATACCGGTTCTGATAAATCGAGCTCCTTTTTGTCTATTGAGTAGCTGGAAGAAACATCCACCAATGACACGATGTGCTGCAATTTGGGGCGGCTAAAGCCCGAGGAGTCTCCATCTTTGTCATCATCACCAGATCCATCACCATCTTCAATTACTCTTGAGGAAAGCAGAAGAGCCACCACCATGAATAATCATCAAAATCAGCTGACGATTTCGACTGATGATGCCCTAGCCAGCTTGCTCGAGCTAGCAGCCAACGATGACGTTGAGAGCTTCAAGCTCTCGATCGAGCTAGACCCGTGTTGCATGGACGAGATAGGACTATGGTACTGTCGTCGAAAGGGGTCCAAACAGATGGTCAACGAGCAGAGGACACCTCTGATGGTTGCAGCAACTTACGCCAGTGTTGGTGTGATGAAGCTGATTCTCGCCTTCTCTCAGGCCGACATCAACCAAGCCTGTGGCGTGGACAACACCACCGCGCTTCACTGTGCTGCTTCTGGTGGCGCAGCAAATGCTGTTGATGCTGTCAAGCTCTTGTTATCAGCTGGTGCTGATCCTAAAGTGGTAGATGGCAACGGTCTATGTCCGGTTGATATCATCGTTGTCCCGCCAAGGCTGCGAGAGATGAAGCTGACCCTTGAACAGCTGCTTTGCCCCGATCAAGGTTCTGTTACCGAGCGGAGTAATCTGAGGGTTTTCATTGCCAACAGCACTCACAGTAACGACTCTCCACCTCTCTCCCCGTCCACGGAGAATAATGGTGCAGATTCTCCCATGAAGTATGCAAAGATGGACCCGCTGCCTGCTCTATTCGAGAAGAAGGAATATCCGATCGATCCATCGTTACCAGACATAAAGAACAGTGTGTATTCTACTGACGACTTCAGGATGTATTCGTTCAAGGTCCGACCATGCTCTCGTGCCTACTCTCACGATTGGACAGAGTGCCCCTTCGTCCACCCGGGGGAGAATGCTCGTAGGAGGGACCCCAGAAAGTATCACTACAGCTGTGTTCCATGTCCCGATTTCAGGAAAGGTGCATGCAGACGTGGAGATATGTGTGAGTATGCCCATGGTGTGTTTGAATGCTGGCTTCACCCTGCTCAGTATCGCACCAGGCTGTGCAAAGATGGCACCAGTTGTGCCAGGAGAGTCTGCTTCTTTGCTCATACTGTGGAAGAACTTCGTCCTTTGTATGTCACGACTGGCTCAGCTGTCCCTTCACCTCGCTCCAGCGCCACTTCTGGGATGGATTTTGCTGCTGCGATGAGCATGCTGCCACCTGGCTCCCCTTCGTCGCTGTTCACTCCACCTATGTCTCCCTCTGGTAAAAACGGCATGTCGAATGCTTGGGGGCCACAACAGCAACAAGGGAATGGAGTTCCGGCATTGCTTCTGCCAGGAGGAAGTAGTAATCTCCAGTCAAGTCGGTTGAGATCTTCCCTTCACGCGAGGGATATCCCCATTGGAGGGGACTACAACGGCTTGCTGCCGGATATCGATATGCAGATCTTCGACGAGCTATCTGCTCTCACTAACAACAACAATAACAACTCATTGAACCGCTCTGGTCGTATGAAGATCCTGACGCCGTCAAACCTTGACGACCTCTTCTCTGCCGAGACCTCGTCGTACTCTCCTCGCTATGCCGATCAAGGAATGGTCTTCTCCCCGACCCACAAGCCATCGGTTCTGAATCATCAGTTCCAGCAGCAGCAGAGCATGTTGTCTCCCATCAACACCAGCTTCTCCCCAAGGAGCGTGGTTGATCACCCCGCTGCGCTGTTGCAGATGTCGTCGCCAAGCAATGTAGTGGAGCCCATTTCGCCAATGAGCGCTCGGATTTCGTTGCTGGCTCAGCGGGAGAAGCAGCAGCTGAGAAGTCTGAGCTCGAGGGAGCTGGGGTCGAACATTCCATCTGCCCTCATCGGTGGTGGGGGGTCACCGGTGTATTTGTCGAGATGGGGCTCGTCGGGTGGGAGACCGGACTGGACTGCCAGCACCAATGAGCTTGGGAAGCTTCGGAGGTCAAACTCGTTCGAGCTTGGGAATGGGGACGAGCCGGACTTATCGTGGGTTCAGTCCCTGGTCAAGGAGTCTCCAGCTGAAATGAAAGAGAAGATGATGCCAATGCAGCCAGGTAGTGGTAGCTTTCCTTCTTCAGGTGAGAGTATCTCAATGAATGTGAACTCGCAGATTGATTCGATTGATAAGGCCATGGGAGCGTGGATTGAGCAGCTCCAGATAGATCAGCTTGTGGCTCAGCAGAACTAACAGATGAGCTAGCCACAGTTTTTGAAGGTGTAACGTAACGAGTTGATGAAAGTGTGAGAGAGAGGTGACTGTTTTTTGGCTTCTAGGGGTCATGTTCTTCCTTTTGCCACACATCAATTCAATGTGTGTCTGTGTTACCCTAACCTGAAACATTTGTTGTATGATGTAATTGTATAGTGTGTAATGGGTATTACCCTGACACTTTCTAAGTTTCTATTAATGTTATGCAAAAAAAAATGTTACTATTCGATTGATGGACTTCTGGTGGTTTGGATTCTCTTTTTATTCCTTTCTATTCCTTTCTATGCCAGTAAGCTTTTTTTTTTTTAAGCATTTTTTGGGATTGCTATTCGTCGTCCTAAAATCCTTTATTAGTTGCTTTAATTGTATTAAATTTACTCTAATGTTTCCTTTATTAGTTGCTCTAATTGTATTAAATTTACTCTAATGTTCTTAGTTTTTTTTTTCTTTCAATCTTAAAAAATAAAACAGTCACCATGTAATAAAAAAAAAATAAACAATCACCATGGTGACTTGGTTATTGGAATCACAACTTTAGCATTCACAAGCCGTACTGAAAACTTAAATTGGAACTCTCTTTTTTTTTTTTACTAGTAAATTGGAACTTTTAAGTTTGAATTTTTGTTTTTTTGGAAATAGTGCTTGAATGAAATCAAATGCGAGTAACAAATCAGTGGAGGCTCAGATCCACCATTGTAGTCCAGAAAAGAAGAAGAAGATCCTCCACGTCCATGGCTGCGAAAGAATCGGTTGCCGGTGGGAATCAGATGTCCCATAAATCCGACCATCCGGTGTCTCCACGCCGTGCAATCGGCGACACCGTCGTTACTGAGCCAAGCAAAAGCGAGAGGCAGCACCAAACAAAAAGGAAAGGAAGAAAAGAGGAACCAGAGCTGGCTAAAGCAGTGATTCCAGTAACCAAGTCACATTCACACACACGGCAATCAGAACGACAGTGGCGGGTTTGGGGAACGGCAGCGGCCGTCGGCAATCAGGTGGTGGACACGGAACGACACAAGGATGTGGGGATTTTCGAAATTGGAGTTAGGGTATAAACGTCAATTCAATATGGTTTAGGGCAAAAAAATTTAAAATTTAGGGCGACGAATAGCGATTTAGTTTTAAAACACAACACCTAACAATGGCCAAGTGTAACCAATGAAAAGGACTGCAGTATAGTGGCACAAGTAATAAATATCGAATCCACGGGTCTCTAGAGTTACTATTACTCAGCTTCAGTTCATTATCTAGCAAACTAGATGAAGGATTGATTTATAAACTACTCTACTGACTACTCTACTAAATACAAGTTGGGAACTCACTTAGGTATGATTCCCCCTAGCTCCTCAATTAGGTCCAAGTTGCAATTACCTTTGGTTGATCTACTGTTGATTAAACTGCGGAAGATCCTAAATTAGCTTGGAATCTCTTAAGCTGACCAAGCCCTCTCAGACAGAATACCTGGTAGGCGACTAGCCTTCACCGGGATAGACTGCTAAGGCGATTCACACAGATCTCCACTAATGGAATGAATTACAGTACAAAGCAGTGAATTGATTGACTCTCGCACAACCAATTCACCACTATCAATCAAGGAAGCTCTCTTAACCTAATCAGATTCTATCTATCATAGGTTAAAGCAGAAATCAAGAGAATTTGATCAAGATACAATTGACTCAACAAATCATGCCTCAATCGATTATAATCAAACAATATAACATCCAAAACTTCATACAAGAAAGATCCTAACACATGGAACTAGGGTTCCTCAAAACCTAAGTGAAGGGAAGTTACTCCATAGAGAAGAGAGAGACTGCAGAAATCTGATCTAGATCTTCAATCTCCATCTCCAAGCTTGATTCCCAAGCTCCAATGGCGAAGAAATCCTCCAAAATAGCTCCAAGAATATTCTCAAGTCGCTCTCTCTCTCTAGGGTTCGTCCCTTGGGTGTTTGGGAACCAAAACCCAGCTCTCCCTCTCCTTTGGCTCGAAATTTGGTTTAAAACCAGAGATTCCCGACTCACACGGTCAGGCCACATGGCCGTGTGGCTTTCCCAGATGCCCGTGTGAGTGCCAAAACGCGGAGTTTCGATTAATCGGCAACCAGGCAAGCTACACGAGCAGGGGCCACACGGCCGTGTGGCTCCCCATGATGCCTGTGTGAGTGCTCGGTAAATCCCACACGGCCACATGGCCGTGTGGGTTTTTAGGTGTGCCCTTGTGGCTTGCTCAGCCTCTGTTTAATGCTTCGTTTCTCCCTCGTCCGGACTCCGAATCAGTCGTCGTTTGATCCCAGACGCTCGTAGTCTTGTCCTCTTTATTTTCATGAAAAAATTCCATGATGATTTGTTCATAATATGAGGTAGAAGTCCATTATTCCTCAGGTCATGCTCGTGTTTCTTCTCCCGAATTGCCAAATGATCTCCGATTGACTTGAAACTTGCGCCTATGCTTCAATTCACATGCTAGGATCTGAAATGTGACAAAGGAACACAACCTAGCGTAAAATAGTCCAAGAAAGCAGAAACTCAAGCCAAAATGATCAAGAAACGAGGGTGCAAACATGTGCAAATCCGATGTTATCAGGCGCCCAAATCATCGCCAATCTTAGCCCTTGACTGGATCCAATATCAATAGAGTCGTCCCTGCTCACAAGCCCCCTAAATCTTCATCCAAGACAGCCAGGGTCCAAGCATCTCCGAATAATCGCCATTTATGGATGAAACATGTAGAGGTAGATGGCGCATTAGAGGGGAGCAAGCGAACCGATGAACTCGGCCCCCTCAAACTCCTACCAGGGAAAATCATCCACACAGATCTGGGATCTGGTGGGGCTCAAAAGCATCTCCACGGGGGAGGCCAGAAGAGCATCATCACAAAGATATAGGAAAAACCGAAAGGTCAAGACAAAAAACAGGGAAAGCAACACTAAAGGCGTGAGACGTAAAGGAAAAAGAACCAGAAAAAACAAAGAAACAGAGTATATGAATGGAATGGAAAGGAAAGCACTGTAAAAGAAAAAAAGAAACGTAAAAGAGAGGTTAAGGGCTACCACTGGTCCCAAAGTGAAGGCCGACGGCAGCCCATCATAGATCTACTTTTGAAATCAAGTGAGAGGGGAGAGAATAGTTGCGGTTTGATCAATGGAATGAAATCCACCAACTAACGATATTGAACCATTTGCTTGGCTTCACACCAACCGACTTCATCCAATAGTGGGGATCGGTTTAGGGTAGACCTAATTTTAAATTGAATTGGGCAGCAAATAATTAAAAGGCAAAATACAACTGTATATCCACAACTATCAGGTTTGTGACAAATATATCCACAATTATCGAAATACACCAAATATCCAAAAATTGGAAGGTTGTGTGACAAATCTATCCACTTTCGTCTGAAACTATAACGGCGTGTCAGACGGCGTTAAATTGACTAACGGAATGCTGAATCGATGTCATCTCACCTGCCACATTAGCCAAAAAGCAACCTAACTTTACACGTAGATGCCAAATAGGCTAGTTGAAGAAAGGCCAAATACAATTGTATATCCACAACTATCAAGTTTGTGACAAATATATCCACCACTATCAGGTTTGTGACAAATATATCCACAACTATGCTAACGTGCGAATGAAAGAATGTAAGAGGGAAACAAGAAATGACTGGTGGTGGGGAAAGAAAAAAAAGCGATTCTCATCCTCTCCCAACTTCGCACTGTCGTGGAGAGTGGGAGCGAGGACCTCGCCGTAGTGCGATAAGAGGTTACCGGCTGCTCCACCTTCGTGCCGCACCGGAATCGGCCTTCGATCCCATGGGGCTTTTAAAGCCCCCTCCGTGGGCAATCTTTCTCTGGCCATTGATTGATCTCTCCTTCATTCCTACCTCTCGGAACAATCGAATTGCTTCCTCGCTCCTTCCTTCTGTGATTACCATGGCGGCGGGCAACGTGGTGGTTTTCGGAGATGCAGATGTTGCTCCAGGTGCTGAACGCGATGATCTCTCCCTGCTGGGTAAGATCATTGGTCCGTTTCCCCCTCTCCGCCAACTCCACACAACCCTGGGGGGCTCTGGAACTGTACCGGGCCGCTGTCGATTCTCCCAGCGGAAGAGGGGCTGCTCCAATTCGTATTCCCCAACACGGCTGACATGAATAGGGTCTTGAGGAAGGCACCGTGGATTCTACCCAAGTACTTGGTGAACTTGGCTCCTTGGGTGGCCGTTTCTCCGGAAATTGCAGAACAGATGTGGCGGGTTCCCCATTTTCTTCAGTTTTGGGGAGTTCCCACTCTTTACTGCTCAATGAGAATGGCCCCGCTTCTTGGCGGTTACCTGGGGAAGACTGATCCTGGCGCGTTCCATCGAGCGGCGGGAACGGCATAGGTCTACTTGCGGGCTCGTGTGTGGCTGGACTCTCGTCTCTCTCTTCCGGTCTCTATTCCAGCATCACATGAGAAGGCAGGTAAAGGTCAGTTTACTGCCACTGTGAAATTTGAGAAGCTCTCACAATTTTGCTACTTGTGTGGGATTCTGGGGCACATTGGACAACAATGTCCTCGCCGGGAGGAACTAGGGGGCACGACTACTCCATACAACAAACAGTTGATTTCCAAGAAGTTGGGGCCTAAGGTGAACGAGAAGATGGGACGTCGAGGCTTGACATGGACTCGCCAAGATAGAGATCTCTCTCGTCCTCAACCAGGTCAGGGAGGTGTCAAACTCCTCCCAGCTCCAGGTACAGCGTGCCCCTCAGATGCCCTGATCCTGAATGAGGGCGAGGGCATGTCAGGGTCTCCATCCTTGGCTCACGAGAGACCAGACGTGGCAGACTTGCTGATCCACAATCCTGGGGGTAAGAAACAGAAGATAGAGGGCTCCGAGCCTCTGCAAACTCGGCGTAATTCTGATGTGGTGGTGGCAACCAGCCAAGACTGGTCCCAAATTGATCGATGAGCATCATCGCTTGGAATTGTCGGGGCCTTGGTTCTCCTCTGAAAATTCCATCCCTCTTTGGAGCCATCTGCTGATTCTAACCCGCGATTGTCTGTCTAAGTGAGACGAAGCATGATGATGATTATGTAAATAAGAAGTTAAATTGTTTAGGTTATGTCGTGGTCAGTTGTGTATCCCCGGTTGGGAGGGCTGGTGGCCTAGCGTTTGCGTGTGCCTCGAATGTCCGGAGTCATGTGTTAGGGTCAGCTGCGTTTTATATATTTGTTGAGGTACAACACATTGTTTGGGGTAGTATTGCTGTGTTCTTTGTTCATTTAAGCTATGATGTACATATTCGTGGTGATCAATTCAATGAATTACTACATTTGATCTCGTTGTGTTCCATTCCTACCATTGTCATTGGTGATTTCAACTGCATATTGTTTGCCTCTGAAAAACAGGGAGGTCGTCCTCCTTCCTTCTCGGTTCTGGAACAGTTTCATACATTCATTGATAGTGCAGGTCTATTGGATTTGGGATTTAAAGGCCCTCCTTTCACATGGTCAAATCGTCAAAGACTTTCCACTCACATCCTTGAACGGATTGATCGTAGCTTAGGTTGTGAGCTAATCATTCATGCTTGGCCGAATGTGCAGGTCTCACACTTGACTGACCTTGGCTCTGATCACAGGATGATCTTACTGCAGCTGATCCCTGGAGCAGGTAAAGGCAAACCCAGATTCCAGTTTGATAAGAGATGGACACCAAAGGAGGAAGCCAAGGTCATTGTGCAGCAAACTTGGGGTGAGGTGTATATTGGAACGCCACAATTCCAACTCTTTTCCTCGCTCAAATCAGCGAGACACCGCTTCGTGGAATGGGCACGCTTGGGGACGACGAACTCGACTAGACTCATTAGAGAGCTACGCCTAGCAATAGAAGCTGCCAGGGAAAGCTATCCTGTCGAATGGAACACCATACAGGGCCTGGAAACTCAATTAGTGGTAGCATACCAGCAGGAAGAGATTTTTTGGAAACAAAAGTCAAGGAACAGCTGGCTGCGGGAAGGGGATGCAAATACGAATTATTTCCATATAACGACTGCTCAGCGGAGACGGCAGAACCAAATAGAGCTACTCCGTGATGAAACGGGGGGATTCACATTGAAGAGCCAGCTAAAGGTAATGTTTCTGTTACCAATTTCAAGTCTCCTTTTCCTCTAATGGCAATTCGTTCCATTTCTTAGTAGCAGCTCTTGGATTGCCGCGAAAGGTCAACTGATGACTCGATATTTGCACATGTTTTCCCCTTTTGTTTCTTGATCGTTTAAGCTTGCTGATAGACCGTTAATTACACATGTTTTTACCCCTGTTCTTACACCATTTGAGATGTGGTTTCTCGTGTTTTAGACCGATTTCACGCTAGGTTGTGCTTGTTTGTGATATTTCAGGTCTTGGCAAGTGAATGAAGGTTTAGGAGCGAGCTCGGGGTCGATTGGGCGAAGATCGGGCGCGAGGCAAGTCACAAAGGAGGCCACACGGGCACACCCACAAATCACACGGTCGTGCAACTCATATTTCTGGCCGTGTGAGATTGTGCGAGAGCAGACACGGCCTGCCCTGACAACACACATGGCCGTGTGAAGGAGTGGCTTGGCCGTGCGAGTTTTGCCGAGAGCAAACACGGGCAGATGGAAGTCACACACGGCCGTGCCACTCTGGCCGTGTGAGAAGCCTGGAATTCGACTAAGTGATACGGTGCGTTTTGCCTCACACGGGCAACTGGGTAGGCCACACGGCCGTGTGGCCCTGCCCGTGTCATTCGGGATTTCCTGGTTTTAAGCCAAATTCCGAACCAAAGAGGAGGAGAGCTGGGTTTTTGGATCCCAAACACCCAAGGGACGAACCAAAGAGAGAGAGGGCGATTTGAGGGCATTCTTGGAATAGAGAAGGAGGATTTCTTCGCCTTGGAAGCTTGAGGAACAAGCCCGGACTTGAAGACTGATCATCTGAAGATTCTTACTGCAGTCTCTCTCTTCTCTATGGAGTAACTTCCCTTCACTTAGGTTTTGAGGAACCCTAGCTATGTTTGTTTGATTGGATGATTGTATGAGTACTCTGACTTGATTATCTTGAGTTCATATTCAATCTATGCATGTTTTCATGATTCAATTCTGCTTTAGTCGAGATTATTGATTCTGCTTTGATCCTATGAGAGGGAATACCTGATTAGGTCAATAGAGCACCATAGATTGATAGTAGTGGATCGATTGCTTTAGTCGAGGGTTGATTCACTGCTTTGTATCGATTGAGAACCTCTTTCGATAGAGGGAGTCTAGCTCAGAACGCCTTGATCAGTTGTTCTAGAGAAGGATACGTCCCTCTAGGCAATTGACTCAAGAGGGCCTTGTTCCTTTAGTCGAGACTCAAGGTCTAGTCAAGGATTCTCCGCATTGTGAATGAAAGTGGAACAAGTTGGAAATCATCAATCGTTAGTCTGGCTAGTGGCTAGGGGGAATCATACCTAAGTGAGTTCCCAACCTGTAATTAGATTAACTTTAACTGTAGTTTGCTAGAGTAGTTTTAGTTCCTTAATCTTAATCTGATTTGCTAAATAATAAACTGAAGCTGAGTAATAGTAACTCTAGAGACCCGTGGATTCGATATTTATCACTTGAGCCACTATACTGCAGTCCCTTTCATTGGTTACACTTGGCCTTTGTTAGGTGTTGTGTTTTAGCGTGTCACTTGCATTATCTCTTCTTTGGCCTATTTTATGATAGGTTGTGTTCCTTTGTCACATTTCAGGTCCTAGCATGTAAATTGAAGCATAGGCGCAAGTTTGAAGTCAATCGGAGATCATTCGGCAATTCGGGAGAAGAAACACGAGCATGACCTGAGTAATAATGGACTTCTACCTCATATTATAGACAAATAATCATGGAATTTTGTATTGAAAAGAAAGAGGACGAGACTACGAGCATCTGGGATCAAACGACGACTGATTCGGAGTCCGGAC